GGAGGCTAAGACAGAAGGATCATGAACTTTGGGCCAGTCTGGGCTACAGAGTAAGCCTGAGATATATAGTGAGACTCTCTCTCAACAAAATAAAAAACAAAACCTAAAAAACAAAGCCCAGTTATTCTTCAGCAAGTCTGTGTGCCTGGCCATGGAAACCAGGACGGCATTCCATCCCTGGGTGCTCTCTGGTCTTCCACAGAGACCAGTATCAAGGAACTCTGGCAACAGGGTTGGAAAAGGATGTATTTTTAAATAATGAGCGTAGCATAGATGTTTTTAATTTAGTTCTAACATTGTCTTAAACCACTCGATTATATATTCTTCAAGTGTATCCATCTTTTAAAATAATTTGATGAACTATGTAAATAATTAACTGTCTTGAATAAAATGTGAGACTAATCCAGAGTAGCTGTGCCGGTATTAACATAAAATCCACTCATGAGCAATAGCACCTCACAGGCTGGTTGTCATGGGGACCATTCTTTGAGTACATTTTACCCAAACCAGTTGATCTAGTTTGGCAACTGTTGTGGTGCTGGCCCGCTTGGCTCTGGCACAAACCTCTCAGTACGCAGAGTGAGTGAGTGAGTGTGTGTGTGTGTGTGTGTGTGTGTGTGTGTGTGGTGCCCAGGATCAAATCCAGGCCTCAGGCATGCTAGGCAAGTGATTTCCCTGAGCTGCACCCCAGCCCCATTTACTTCTGAAGGGGAAGGTGTCCCATGCAGGTTACTGAGAACCCGTGCTTGGCCCAAGCCCAACAGACAGCCTGTGTGCGGGTGGTGTACCACTATGGGAGGGGTGAGATCCACGCGAAGGTGGCCAACCTCCAGAACTGGACCCAAGAGTGTATTAGTGACCTCAGGCTCCTGAGCTACTCCAGGCTGGACATAGGGCTGAGGTCTCCAGCAGAGGAGATGGAGTCAGGCATCTGACCCTGGACTCAGGCCAGCTGGCTGTTCTGTCTCTCAGTCCGCTGGTGACCCCAGTCTCACTGCAGGCCTTGCACACCCTTGCAGTTTACCAAACACCTGGGCCCACCCATCACTCCCATTCTGTGCACCTCCTCTACATCTCCTTCCTCTGCTCTTTCCCCTCTCTCAGCTGACCTCGATACTATGCTGATATGGTGCTGACCAATGCTGCCACTGACAGTGGCCACTTTTTCTGAGCCTTGCCCTGTACAGGGTACCGTGCCCAGTACAGCTGAAGAGGTGGCAAGAACATTTTCATTTTCTCAGACAAACTAAAACGAAAAAATTTTGGTTTTGGCAGTACTGGGATTTGAACCAGGGCCTCCCACTTGCTAGGCAGGTGCTCTACTGCTTGAGTCATTCCTCCAGTCTCCCCGCCCCCCCAATTTTTTTAATAAAAAAATTAAAACAGCTGGGCTCCAGTGGCTCATGCCTGGAATCCTAGCTACTTGGGAGGCTGAGATCAGGAGGATCTCAGTCCAAAGCCCAGACAGACAGTTCATGAGACCCTGTCTTGAAAATACCTAACATAAAAGGGCTGGTGAAGGGGCTCAAGTGGTAGAGCGTGTGAGGCCCTGAGTTCAAACCTCAGTAATAAAAAAAAAAAAATTAAAAGAAACTGAAACCCAGGAAGCCCCAGATTTGCCCAGGTAACATACCTGGTGGGGGCTGATGAAATAGAACTTAAAATCCACATGTCTGATACCAGAGGCCTAGACCAGAGGGAACCTGACTTCAGGAGTCCCAATAGACCAGCTATGCCACTTACCCCAAAACTGAGTGGAAAAGTAATGGTAAAAAACAGGACAGGAGTTTCTTCAGTGCAGCTATATGGGAAAGTAGGGAGACCAACCTCAGCACTGTCTTTCTGGAGCTGGTGAGAGCTTTGAGGTTTTATAGAAATGTGAACAAACTGAGTGTGGCAGCACATGCCTGTAATCCCAGCTACTCAGGGAGCTGGGCAACTTAGCAAGGCCATCCTGGGCAATTTAGTGAGATTCTGTCTCAAAAAAAAAAAAAAAAAAGGTTGGGGGTGCAGCTCAGGTGAGCACTTGTCGTCTAGCATGTGTTCAAACCTCAGTGCTATACAGAAAAGGTGGGAGGAATGAAAGCAAGGGGGTTGGTAGTCTGCCCAGCCAGAGGCAAAGCAGGCCGTCTTGATCAGGTCACGTCCAGTGGATGATCATCTCAGGTGGTCAGGTGAGGCACTGCAGGCAAAGAGAAAGTTGCTGTCGAAGGTAGGGTTCAGGGTTCCTTTCTTCAGTTTTAGGGTAATGACTGGAGACTTCCAGGCGCTGGGAAAGGATGTCGTGAAAGCTGCCAGTTGACAATCTGTGGGTGATTTCCTTGAAAATACCTTAGTTGCTCTTATTTGGTGCCTTCGGCCTGCAAGGGAGAGGTCACCAACCTTAAGTGATGGACAAGTCTACACAGAGATGAGCAGGAGTTGGACCCAAAGTTCAGGGTAGCAGAGGAGAAGGCAGGATACCCAGCTTTTGTCCCGTGTGAGCTGTCCACCAGGCATCCGCAGGCCCGGGTTCCAAGCCAGTGCTTTTAACAGGAGCCGCCTCTAAGATCCTGCTACATGCCTTGCTCCCAAGCTGGGACCTTCCCCACACAGACCTGTGCCACTCCCACTAGATTCCATGTGCATTCATCCACAAGGGGCCTTCTCACTCCCAGCACGCAGCTCCCGGCCATCTCCTTGCCACAGCCCTGGGCCCTTTGTCACCTGGTCCCAGACAGCATGGCCAAGCTGGGGATCCCTGGAGATCAGCTTGGGGAAGAGGGCTGGCAGTGCAGGACCAGGCATCGTCCTTTCTTTGCTACATTGTCCATACATCTTTCTGTCTTTGTTCGTTTTTTAAAAATTTATTAGCATAAATTAGTTGTACAAAGGGGTTTCGTTGTGATCTTGACAACATGCATATAATGTATTTTGATCAAATTCACCCCAGCTATATTACTAAGTTTCTTAACCACCCTCCCTCTTTTAAAAGTTTTTGGTGGGTTTCACTGTGCTGTTTTCATACATATATATAATGTGCTTTTATAGTTTTCACTCCCCCCATGCTCTCCTTTCTCGCTCTTCCCACCCACTGGTTGACTGTCCCCAGCAGTCCCCTTTTACAATCATGTCTTATTAGGTCCAGATTCCACATGTGAGTGAAAACATGCGTATTTGTCTTTCTGAGCTTGGTTTTTCTCGCTTAACATGACCTCCAGTTCCATCTATTTTTCTGCAAATGAAACTTCATTTTTCTTCATGACTAATACTCCCGTACGTGTGTGTGTCACACACACACACATATATACATATTCTTTATCCAATCATTGTTGAAACATTGGGCCCCTAGGCTCCTTATCTTAGCTGTCATATAGTGTTGTTATAAACGCATGTGCAGGTTGTGTGTCGATTCCTTCAGATATATATCTAAAATGTTATAGCAGGATCGTATGGTAATTTTATTTTTAGTTTCTTGAGGAACATTGGTGCTGATTTCCGTAGTGGCTGCACTAATTTACATTCTCACTGACAGTGCACAGGGCCTCCCCTGCACCCACCTGCACCCTCGCCAGCATTTGTTCACGGCTTTTTCATGGCAGCCATTCTGACTGAGATGGAATCTCAGTGTCGTTTTGATTTACATTTGCTTTGACTTAAATGTGTTGGATTTTTCTTTAGGCATTTATTAGCCATTTGTACTTATGAGAACTATCTTTCACTCCACATACATTTTGGTAGCCATTTTTTTCACCTTGTATTTCCACACAAGCATTTTTCCAACTTATTACAAAATTCTAAAAGTGGGGCTCGGGGTGTAGCTCAGTGGCAGGACTCATGCTTAGCATGAGGAAGGTCATGGGGTTCAATCCCCGGCATCAAAAAAAAAAAAGTAATTTTTAAAAATTATTTTCAGAAGCCTGACTTGTTTGCGTGCCTGGAAACTGAGGCAGGAGAACTGTGAGTTCCAGGCCAGCCTGTGTTAAAAAACAACAAAAGTTTGGGGCTTCTAGGGATCAAACCCAGGGCCTTGCCTATCCTAAGTACATGCTGTACAACTGTGCCATATTCCAGCTCCTCAAAAGTAATTTTTTTTTGGTGGGACTGGGGTTTGAACTCGGGGCTTTCCATTTGCAAAGCAGGAGCTCTACTGCTTGAGCCACTCCTCCAGTCCATTTTGCACTGATTATTTTGGAGATGGTGTTTTGCAAACCATTTGCCCAGGCTGGTCTTAAACTGTGATCCTCTTGATCTCAGCCTCCCAAGTAGCTAGGATTACAGGTGCAAGCCAGGGAACCTGGCAAAAGTAATTTTAAAAATAAACCTTTTAGGGGGTGGGTAACTGGTGTTTGAACTCAGGATTTTGCACTTGCTAGGCAGGTGCTCTATTATTTGAGTCACACTTCCAGCACTTTTTGCTCTGGTTATTTTGGAGATAGATTCTGGCTTTTTCACCAGGCAGCCTGGACCAGGACTCTCCTATTTATGCTTCTCACAGTAGCTGGGATGATAGGCACATGCCACCATATCCAGCTATTACTTGAGAAAGGGGCTCATGAATTTTTTTCCCTGGGCTGGCCTGGATCTCTGCCTCCTAATTAGCTAGCATTACAGAAGTGAGCCACTAGTGCCTGGCTTAAAAATAAACCTTTTATTTTAGGGCATTTTAAAGATTTACAGAAAAGCTGTAAACACAGCACAGAGTGCTCCCATCTCCTCTACCTCCAGTTCTCCCCATCGTGAACATCTTGCATTACCACATGCATTAGGTCACTAGGGCTGCCATAAAAACTTACCACAAACTGGATGGCTTAAAGGGACAGAAATTCACCCCCAGGACCAACACTGGGAGGAAGGGAAGACATGAGGTGGAACTCCCCCAGCAGGCCCAACCCAAAGAGGTCCACCAGGCATTGCAGGGCTAGGTCCACGCCCAGACCTCAGGCTGCTCCTGGGCTGGGGCAGGGTGGGAGGCTGGACCCAGCCCAGCTGTCACAGTGGCAGGTCCTTTGTCTGAGCAGACGGCTAAGCTGATGCTACAGTGTGCTGAGAGGCGTCTCCAGGAACACAGGTCAATGAAGGAGCTGGTGGAGCAGGTGATAGAGGCACAGAAGAACACCAAGGTGGCTCAGATGAAGCTTGTGAAGGGCCGACGGCAGATAGGTAAGGCAGGGAGTCAGGTGTCACGAGGCCTGCCCAGCTCCATTCCTCCCTGCCAGCATCCTGCCCTGAAAAAGCTACTGTGGTCAGTGAGCCAGTGTCCTTGGAGGCCTGGCTGGGACTGGGCAAGCTCTCCCAGTGGCCTTCCCGTATGGAGGCCTGAACAAAGCACTCCTGGGGGAAATGGACCCTGCCCAATGCTGCCAGACTACTCTTTGGCCCTGTCAGCACCCTGCTTGGTCCCTAAGTTCAGGAGGTGATAGAGGAGAGCCGGGAACTGCTGCAACGTAGGGTGGAGGAGGTCAAGGAGGAGCAGAAACGGCGGTGTGAGCTCATCTCCCAGCTGCATGCACTGGAGACACAGCCTGCACGCAAGGGCAAACTGGTGGACCTGACCCAGGTGAGGATGCCCCTGGAGCCCACACCCTCAGGGAGCCTCCTCAAGTGGCACCAGCATGTCCAGATTTCCCACCAAGGCCAAAGGCTGGTCTTGTCCCCACCTGACATTTGCCTGGCCACAGGTACACCACCAGTGTGGACCTAGCACTCACTGAGCTGGATGTCTGCTAGCACCCCTGAGGGTGGGAGAGATAGGCTTCATGGAGGAGGCAACTTGGGAGCTGTTTGCTGAGGGAGATCCAGGGACTCCCCAGGTCTGAGGTGACAAGGGGAGTAGGGAGAGCACAGGTGTACAACAGTCCAGAGCCTGGTGGAGCAGGAGGCCAAGAGGAGATCCTGGAAGCCTGTGTTAGAAAGCAGAGAGGAGCCAGAGTGGCAGGAGTGAGGGGGCGGAACTGGGATGTCATGGGAGCTGGCTGTAGGCCCTAGCAGGTGAGTGGCACCAGGTAAGATGTTTAGCCAACTCCACCTAAGGTGCAGGTTGGAGAGCTGACTCAAGGGACATTACATAGGCAGAATTGGGACTTTCCTGGGTGAGGCAGGGGTGGGGCTGCACAGTTGCCACCTGGGGGTCTCCCCTGTGCCCTCCCCCTGGCAGATCCCTGGTTATGGCCTGGAAGGGGAGATGTCAGTTGTGGAGCTGCAAGAGAGGCTGGCCCTGCTCAAAGAGACCCAGAGGCGCAAGGAGGAGGAGAAGCGGGACCAAATCATCCAAGAAAAGCGGGCCAAGAGCCAGGAGCTGCAGAAGACGGTGGAGCAGATCTCACTGTGCCGTGCAGCCATGGGGAGAACCGCAGCCTTGAGGTGGGTGCCTGAACCCCAGGGAAGGCACCTCCAAGAGCAAGGAGTAGCAAGCTTGCTATACACCTTCCTGGGTGGGTTGGGTCTCCTTGGAGAGACAGCCCCCCCCCACCCCCACCCCGCCTCGGGCATGCAGGTCGCTTGCAGTAACTCTGAAATGGTGGGAGATTGTGTGGCGATGGCTTCCATGCCCGTGACCTAGACCCAGCCGTGGTTGCCTGTGTGCTTCACCCAGCTAGCTAGCTCTTGCTCTGTCTGCAGAGCCTTTAGAAGTAGTTGCAAGGGATCAGATGCTTTCTTCCTGACACTGCAGTGAGCATCTTCTAAAAAAAGGTTGTCCTACATAACCACAGCACCGTGACACAACTAGGAAAGGTCCCAACACCATCTAAATACCCCGTCCATATTCACGTTTCTCCAAGGCATCCCAAGACTGCTAAAGCGTTTTAAAGAGTGTTTGCTATCATGACTGTCTTTTTAAAGCAGGATCTAGGTCACACAGTATGCACAAGCAAACACATCTTTTAGCTTATTAGCTTTGGGAACAGACACTGTGATGACTTTCAGCGTAGTGTGCCCTGGCACCCCAGTCAGGCAAGGGTAGGCCACTCCCCCACCCTACCCAGGGAGGGCGCAGTCGCTCGGGGGGAGGTAGTACCCGGACCCAGAGAAAGTGCTGAACGAGACTGGGGAAGGAGAGAAGACAGTGAGGACGGAGGAACTCTGATTCATTGCCAATGGGACAGAATGCACCGGCCTTGGTCCTCTGAGTGGCAGCTGCTCTGGTTGCCTTTCAGAGGAGGCACAGGCCGGTGCTGCATGCTGCCGGGTGGGGGGCTGTGGGGAGCCACAGCAGGTCCCAGCGTGGCCCACATTTCGTAAACTCCACCATTTCGCAGCTGCTGGCCTCACCCTGGCAGACCCCAAATGCAGTATGGCTGGTGTTAAGTTCTTGCCTGCCCCGGGCGCATACAAGCAGCCTCCACAGCACTAATTCAATAGGAGCATTTTCCTGCGTGGGCGGCCTAGATAGTTTGCCAAGAGGGCGAGCGCGCGCACGGCCCCAGGCTGTGCTGTGCACTTACAGGAAAGCTGCGGGGAACAAGACTTACGACTGGACGGGAAAATGATCTATGTAAGGAAAGGCTGTTAGCAGTGGTCACCTGCAGGCACGAGAGAATGTTAGAAGAATAAGGGGGCTTTCACATTTTTAAACCAATTATACACATAGTACACACGTAATGCTTAAAAAAACCAAAAACCAAAAAAAAAAAAAAAACAAAAAAATACGTTAAGGTTGAAAGGATAAAGGGGCTGGCAGGCCAGGCGCTGGTGGCTCACGCCTGTAACCCTAGCTGCTCAGGAGGCTGAGATCAGGAGGATCGCGGTTCAAATCCACACTGGGCAAATAGTTCGACGAGACCCTGTCCCGAAAAAACCCATCACAAAATAGGGCTGGTGAAGTGGCTCAAGGTGTAAGCCCTGAGCTCAAACCCCAGTACCGAAAGAAAAAAAAAAGGGGGGGGGGCCGGCCGGACCTTAACGCCAACCCCCTCTGCACCGTGATCCTGCCCTGTGTCTCCTGGCCCGCGTCTGGTCGCGGGTCTCCCCCGGCGGTTCCTAAGCCCGCGCTGTTGCGGTCCAGGTGGGAGGAGAAGCAAGCCCAGGCGGCGGCCCCGGGGACGCCCTCGCAGGACGAGCGCGTGCTGGAGCTGCAGCGCCGGATCGAAGAGCGGGCGGCCGAGCGCCGGAGGCGGACTGCCCAGCTGCGCGTGTCCGCGCCGCGGGCAGCGCGCCCCTCGCGCAGGGTGAGCTCCGGAGAAGGGGGCGGCGGGGCGCGCGGGGGGAGGGCGGGTAGCGCGCGCTTTGTTGGGGGAGGACCAGGAGACGGGTCGGGACGCGGTCCGGGGGCAGCGGCAGTCCCCGTCCGAGCCGACGCGTCCCCGCCTGCAGGCGCAGCTGGAGGCTCAGCACTGGCTGGAGCTGGAGCAGAGCCGCGAGCGCAGGCTGCAGGCGCTGCAGCAGGACCACTCCGCGCGCTCGCCCGCGCAACGCCTGGAGGCCGCCTGAGCACGCGCGCCGCGCGCCCCCGCGCGCAGACGCCGTGCGGCCGCGTCCTCGTTCCCAGCCCCCTGCCCGTGCGCTTCCCGCGCTGCCGCCCCACGCCCCGCCTCTGCGCAGCCCGCCAGGGTCCCAGCAGGGACCCTTCAGAAAAGTCAGGGAGCGGATTTATGGCGTGGGAGAAACTTATGCTAAACAAGTATCCGCTCTTTCTCTGGAATTCAAGTGTAACTGGCGTCTCGCGTTTTTATATGCTAAACCTAGCTCCTGAAGATCCCCCAGCAAGGCACTTCCTCCCAGGACCCAGATCCCCTCTCCCACCCAGCACCCCCGCACGCTGAAACCTGGAATCCCCGCCTTGTACCCGAACCGGTGCCTTTGCCTGGAAAGCTCAAGACCGGGTGCGATTGAGCCTGTAGCCGAACTCTCCAACGGCCCTGTCCATGCCTGATCGCTTGTCGTCATCATGACCATATCGAGCACATAGGAAGTGTCACCCACTCTCATTCTACCGATAAGGCCGCCGGTGCTCCAAAGGCAATCTGTCCAGAGGGCCAGGACCCAGAGCTAACGGTGGGTGACGTACAGAGTCCTCTCTCCAGCATCACCAATGGAGCCTTGGGTCACATAGGGAGGGGCACCAGCTGGCCCAGGGCAGGTACCAGAGTGGATTTGCTGTTCAGGAGAAGGCATAGCCTTGAGAACAGGTTTGTGGAGTGGTGTCTGCGGGTGAAACTCAACCTCAGGAATAAAATGCAAGCTGGATTCTGGTGGCTCACACCTGTAATCCTAGCTATTTGGAAGGCTGAGGTGGGGAGGATTGAGGTTTAAGGCTGTCCGGAAACCCCCATCTCCAAAATAACCATTGCAAAATGGACTGGAAGCGTGGCTCAGCTGGTACAGTATCTGCTTTGCAAGCGTGAAGCCCTGAGTTTAAACCTCAGTCCCAAGAAAAAAAGAAATGAAGTGCATTGTGGTGCTTGTGTAGGAAGCAGAGACTGCTGGCAAGTCCATGATGTAAGGGAGAATTGGACACTGCCAGCTGGATAGAGGTTCAGGAGATATGACCCCACTCCTGAATATCCTCCGTGGGCCTGCAGAGGAGATGGTGGGGAGGTCATACCTAAGTACTTTCAGACCAGGAAGGTAGGCATCTCTGCAGTGACAAGAAAAGATGAAAGGATCAGAGCCTTGCTTCAGTATTTGGAAGTGTATCAGAATTCCAGGACTTTCCCATAACCCAGGTGGGTCGGGAGAGTTGGGAGCAGATTGAATTTCGTTTAGGGAAATAAAAACATTTCTTATATCCCGTGTCACGTGATTCAAACCCATTTCAATTGCTATGGAGGAAATATAGGTGATGATTGGTCCAAAGAGAGTCCTTCAGGAGCCCCTGGGGTTTACTAGCTGCCATAACTGGCAAGCCAAAGGTAGGGTGACTTCAGGTTGAGCCTGATGCAGGAACGCTATCTCCATGCTTGTAACAGTTCATTGTCGGGAAGATGTTCGGTTTTACTGGCCTTGGTGGAGCACACCCCTGTAGAGCCAGCTCCTGCAGGAGGGCAGGTCTGCACAGTGTCAAGGGGAAATTGCCTTTCACTTATTAGGCTACCCTGAGGGCAGCCCAACAAACCCTGGCTGGTACTGACAACAATGTTAGTTGGCAGAGAGCAAGGTCCCCTTTCCCATCTAGCAGCTAGCTATTCAGAGGCAGCTCAGGAACACCTGGGGACTGTGCTCTCTACAAACCTGAGTGGGAGCAGGCCTGTGACTATTCCCAAAAGTTATGGCCCAGTGCTGTGTGTAATAAATCGATGGTAAAAGTTCTCTGTGTATCCTTGTCTGGTGACTTTATACCTCCCATCAAGAGCTGGAGTCTTGCCAGGCACTTAATCCTGGCACTCAGAAGGCTGAGACGAGGAGGAGGGAGAGTCCGAGGCCAGCTTGTGCCACACAGTGAAACCCTGTCTCAAAAACTGGTGGAGTCTAGTCCCTAGCCTCTGACCCTGCTCTGGCTTTGTTACTTTCTTTGGCCAACTGTGTGGAAGTGGCCATGTGCCAGTTCAGAGTCTGAGCCTCCAGTGGCCTTGGAGGTCCCACTTGTTCTCTTGGAAGCCTGCTGGCACCATGTGAGTATTGTTGGGATGACACCATGTGGAGAGCCATTTGTCCACAAAAGGCCATCTCTGACCAACCTACACTAGCAGACCCCAACAAGTGAACCTCCCCCATCTCATGTTGACTTGCCTGTTTTTTGAAGTACTGGGTTTTGTTCCAAAGCAACGGTGACATATTCTCCAGCCAAGGGTTTCCCACTGGGGATCCCTGCCTCACCCTCCCTGAATTGACCATTTGAAAGAGAACCAGCCAGATGGGGGTAAGGCCTGCTGTGAATGCTCTTTCTGGACCTTTCTTGGCTGGATCATCTCTGGAGATGAGCTTCTGCCTGCAAGCTTTCAGGAGAAACAACTGAAAGTGTCTGAGACACTTGGGGAGGGGCTCTGCAGATTTGCACATTCCAGCCACAGAGATTCCACAGCTGGGGTGAGCGCCAGGTATCTGCCTTTAGCTTGTTTCCATGTGTTACCTATGGGAACACCGGTGTGCCAGTCTCTCTCCAGACTGGGGCCCTTTAAGGTCTGAGTGAGGTACTATTTGTGAGGGAGCAAGTTCAGTGTCAAGTGAGGTTCAGAGAAGACTTGAAGACAACTTTTGAGCATGAAGGTGGTATTTGTGGTAATTCTGTTTTTCAATGCCACATCTTCAGTATATCAAAATTTAATATATTCAGCAGTGAGGAGGCTGAGGCAGGAGACTCTTAGGTTAGAGGCCATCATGGCCTATATGGAGAAGACCCAATTTCAAAAAAAAAAATTACAAATAGAATATTGTAACTTTAGGCTGTGAAGTGCAAATGAATAACTTCACTGTATAAGTCTGTCATTTTAACTGTCACTTTGATTAGTCAGGTTGGCCCTATTTATCACTGAGATTTCCTTAAATATTTTAAATTGCCCTTATTCATATACAGTCTAATCTTTTTGGCATTTCAGTTGTCTGTCTTATCAAGTTTTTAAATAATTCTTATAAGCATATTAAATGTCTACATTTCTCTTAATCTCTTTATTCCAACTATGATAAAAAATTTGGAAAATATAATACCTTTTGCCTTAAAATAACCATCAAAATCAAATATTCAGGCAGGAATGGTGGCTCAGGCCTCTGTCATCCCAGCACTATAGAGGCTGAGGCAGGAGGATTGCAAGTTTGAGGCTAGCTTGGGCTACGTAGAGAGACCTTGTCTCAAAAAAAAAACTAGGGCTGGGATATAGCTCGGTGGTAGATGCTTGCCTAGCATTGCCTGGGTTTGATCTCCAGCACCAAAAAAGACAAAACAACAAACTCTCCCCCCACACACAAAACAAAATCCACAAAACAAAAATACTCAAACACATTTTACATTGGAGTCAGATTTCAGACACTCAGCCATACCAAATTCCCTTATGATTACATAAAATAGCAGATTGTTCATAAACTCAATAAAAAAAATTGATCTGCTTTGTTATTCCCATCAATCTTGGAGGTTAAAGACCCCCTAAGGAAACAGTCCATTCCATGGCATTTCAGGCAACCTTTCCATTGTGCGAGGGTACAGGTGTTCTCAGGAAAAGCTGGGCTCCCCGTCCTGTCTCTGTTGCTGAATCCATTCCCAAATCCAGCTCAGGGATAGGAGCTCAATAAACTCATCACTGATTGTCTAGTCCCATTTTGATCTGTGGACCCCCAGTCTGCCTTAAGTCCTCTCACCCTCCACATTCTACCTCAGAGGTAGGCAGTTTTTATTATCCCTGCATAACTGGTGAGGAAACTGCTGAGACTTTCTTAAAGGATGGAGCTGTCTTATTTGTGGTACAGGGCCTCAGGACGGCTACACAGGCACTCTATGGCTTGATCCATTCCTCCAGCCTTTGTTGTGTTGGGTACTTTCTAGAGAGGGTCTTGCTTTTTCTCCGGAGTGGTCTCAAACCGTGATCCTCCTGGCTTTTGCTTCCCAAGTAGCTAGGATTACAGGTGGTGCTGGTTTTCAAACTCAGGCAGGAGGCATCCAGGGCCTGCACTTTGTGTTCCCTTGGAGTTGCATGCCATGTCCAGGGACCCAAGAACTCCTGGCCTCTGCCCTTTCCCAGGCCGGCTCTGGGGAAGAACACTCCCTTTCAGGGAGTTCTTTCCTTCTAAACTCTTCTGCCCACGCAGGACAGTCCACACTCAAGCGACTTGGCAGCTGGGCCCTCCCAGATCTGACTCTTGGCCACCACCACTTCCCATCTCTGTGCTCCTGACCCTGGGCTGCCAGCCTGCAGGTTCCTGGGCATGCCCGTGTCTCCCCACTCCCCACCCCCGGCTCAGGACGCAGGGGTCTGTCTCGCTGTAACGCTGTCCTCTTCCTTCCCAGTCCTTGGGTCTCTTCCTGCAGCGCTCCCACGGACGGGGCCAGCGTGCTTCCCCGGGATCCTCCACCAGTCGGGAGGCATGAAGGGTGTGGATCTGGGGCTGGTTTCCAGCCGATCGTCGAGTCCCCGTGCGGGGTGGGAGTGGGAGGGTATTTTCCCTATTTTCCGTCAACTGAGGCCCGAGAATGGCACGCAATGGCTGGCGTGAACTGATGTCCAGCTTCGCGATGTCGGCTGGACAGGGACAGGGACACAGTGGCTGGTGAACAGGGAACCGGCACACTCGGAGCCCGCTTGATTGGGAGACCACAAACTGCCGGTCCCAGTAGCCAAGGATGGGCGGGAAACCGCTAAGCGCCCGAGCCACTGGGACACAACTCCCGAGAGGTCTGGAGGGCGGAGCTGCGCTGGCGGTGCTCTCGCGGGAAGTGGGAGTTCGGACGCGCGAGCACGGGCGGGGCCGGAAGAAGTCGAATTTCAAAGTGATGATAGATGGTTCTATTCTCCAATAGCGTTGAACATGTGTCTCCTTAACTGGTAGACCTCAGGAGTAGGGGCGGCGGGGGCCAATGAGGACGCGCGGGGGCGGGGCCGACGCCCGCGGAGCGGAAGTGGGTTGCTTTGAGGCGGCCAAGGCTGGCTTGAGCGGGTCTCCTCAGCTGCTTCCTTGCTCGAGTGCGTTAGCTGCGGCCCCTTTCATCACCACGTCCGAGTAAGGTCAGGCTTCGCGGGAAGGGAGCGGCAAATAAGGGCCGGGTTCCGAAGGCTTCGCGGCCTTCAAAGGCCTCAGCGCCCGCTTCACGCGGCTTGGCTCCGCATCCCGGGCCGCGCCTCCACGGGGCCTCGGGCCAGCCCTGCCTTCCGCGTGGGGGCCACGAGCTCGGCGCAGGCGTCGGAAGTTGGGAGGCCTCCATCAAGGGGCTGGGTTTGCTCTCGCGGGCTGGGCCACAGGGCTTGGGCCGCCGCAACCTCGGGAGGGAAACTGAGGCTCAGGGAGGGGAGGGGTGCGCCCAAGGTCACCAGGAGGGTTGGGAAGCGCCAGCCGTGCCGGGGCAGATCAGGGCCAGCTTTTTGTTCCCCGCTGACGACGCCTCCTTTGTGTGCTCGCGCCGCCTCCCCGCCATGGTGGGGCCTGCGCGTCTGCCGGGCGTCCGGGCCGCGGGGCGGGCCTTTCTGGGCCGGGGGCGCGGAGGACCCGGGAGGGCGCGGAGCTCTGGGACGCGTGCGTCCAGCCCCGCGCCCTCCCGGTACTCGGGGCCGTGAAAGTGGTTCTGACTGGGAAGCCCCAATCACGAGTTCAGTGCACACCACTTGTCCACCTTTGACCCTGGAGTGGGGGTGCGGACAGGGGAGGGAAGGGCCAGGCCCGGGGCGAGCCGACTTCGTGGGGATCGGCGCCCCGCGACGTTCCGGCCTCCAGCTCTCTGGTGCTTTGGCTCCAAGTTCTTGAGCCAGACCTAGAGTCGCAGCGCCGCAGCCTGTGCTCCGTTCAGGTGGCCAAGTGGTTGGGGAGGCCCAAGGTCACTCGACCAGCTAGTTGGCTGGAGGCTGTGTCGAATTCCTGATTGCGTTGAAGAGAATCTTTGTTTTACTTGGTTAGCCTTTTTTTCTTTCTTTTTTTTTTTTGGCGGTACCGAGATTTGAACTCAGGGCTTTCAAGATAGGCTCTCTCTACAGCTTGAGCCACGCTTCCATTTGGTGGTTTGCTTTTTAATGGACGGAGAACCATTTGGGTACAGTTTTACCTGTAAGTTTGAGGTGCGGTGCTTACTTTGTTGCCGGAACTTGAGCTTCTGACTGATTCAAAAAGCTTTCTTGAGTGTTGGGGGCGTGGCTCAAGTGGTAGAGCGTCTGCCCAGCAGGCAGTTCAAACCCCAGTACCAACAAACTCTTACCACCGTTCCCTCCCCCCCCCCGAAAAAATTGCTTTAATAGTGTTTATCAACCTCTTAAGTTACTATCTTTGTAAGGAGATTTTCAGATGTTTTCCTAATCTACCTCTCCGTTGTCCTTTTACCTACTATATTCGTGCTTTGTCCATGAAATAAGATTTTTTGCTGTATTTGAGGATGTGTTGTTAATATTCTAAGTTAGCACTATTTTGAGGTGTTGGTGTGTGCCAACGTTTTCTGGTTGGAGTACAGCATGAATAGAATAGGCTTCGTGTTGGTCCTCCAGGAGCTGAGTGAGAGTGAAAAGAAGGAAAGGAAGTCCCTGCAGTTGAAGTATAGATGGTGCAAGAAGTGCAGCAAGAGAAAGGATTGGAGAGACAAGCAAGAATCAGACATGAAAAGTCTTCGGTGTGTCCTCACGTTAAGAAGTTCAAATTTAGCTAGGTGCCAGTAGCTCATGCCTGTAATCCTAGCTACCCAGGAGGCAGAGATCGGGAGGACTGAGGATTGAAGCCATCCCTGGGCAGATAGTCCCTGAGACTCTACTTCAAAATTATGCAATACAAGAGAGGGCTGGTAAAGTGGCTCAAGTGGTAGAGCGCCTGCCTAGCAAGTTTGAGGCCCTGAGTTCAAACCCCCGTACCACAAAAAAAAAAAGCAGTCAAGTGGAATTTATCTTTTGTTGTTGGCATCACTGAGTTAAGCTCAGAAGTAACATGGTTAGAGTTGTGTTTTAGAAAAAAGTCTCATTGTGCTGTGAGAAGGGTGTATCAAAAAGGCAGACAAGACACATGTGTTGCAGCTGGGCGCTTGAGCCATGCCCCCAACTCTCAAGCAAGTGTTTTGAATCAGTTGGAAGTTCAAGTTCAGCTAATACATCTTTCCACTCACACATTCATATTTCACCTCAAACTTACAGGTAAAACTACCCAAATGGTTTTCCATCAAAACCACTAAACAGAAAGCGTGGCTCCAGTTGTAGAGAACCTACCTTGAAAGCCCTGAATTCAAACTCCAGTACTGCCAAAAAAAACCAGGACTAATGGCAGGGCCAGTTATAGAAGCATAGGTTGGATCAGGTAGTGACTGGGGTTGGCTAGTAATTCCAGAAATTTGTATTCTCACAAATTTCTGGAATTTCTGGGAAAAACTTTGGGTGCTATTTCCAAATAGCATGAAGTAATTGGTTCATGTGGTGTATGAACATAGCTTTGTGTGTGAATGCACATGGGCGTTACTAGTTTCTCATTTGGAAATGATTTACCCACATCGTTTACTGTTCCCAAATTAGGATATTAATCTTTCTTCCTTTTCTCTTTTCAACCAAGATGGGTCCAATTATAAATATTTTCAAGTAGTTGATTCTCAGTGACTGCATTGTATGTTGAAGAATCTAGTTACTGTTCCTGGGTTTTTTCCTCCTACACCTAACTCAGGAAAGTGGTCTTAGGGCCTGGGCTTTGCACCGTACTGTCCTTTAGCTAAACTGTTGGTAAATTTGGCTGCTTTCTTTGTTAACCTGTAGTAAAGTTTGCTTCCTTTCCACGCACTTTTTTGATGTCTATATTCTGGTCTTTTATGCCTTAAAATTGGAAATACCTTAGCTGGAGATGTTCTCTTCTAATCGCCCATGATGGACTAATGTTTTTATGTCTCCCTTTGTTTCCTGATAGTGATTATATTTTTACTTATACCCTAAGTCCATTTCCCCCATGTCTGAAATCCCCCCTCCCCCAAAAAACCCCTCAGCCATTTCTTCCAGTTATCTGCCATCTCCTTTAAGCATCTAATGAGCCTAATGATTTGAATATAAATCCAATGGGAAAAATCCTTATTTATTTACATGTTTTGCCAAGTGCTGTATTAAGGGGAGGGGAGGGCTTCATGATAAGTATTCGGATATAGAGTTGTATTTGAGTTAAGGAAGAACAGTAAGAGAAATACTGTAAGTGAAATCAGGACTGGGAATAGAGCAACAGAAGTAACTTTTAGTAGGCCTTGAAGGGTGGATAGAAATTTCCCCCAAATGAGGTGGGAATGACCCTTGCCATGTGTTAAGTTATGGCGCTGCAATAGAAAAGAACAGAAAGCGGTGATTGACATCCATTGTACTTTGAGTAAAGTACAGTTCTCCTTGAAATGCTTGTTTGGAAACAAGAATTTGTTTGAGTAAGATTGATATAATGGGGAACAATTTGAACATAATGGGAAGTTGAGTTTTCTGGACACACTTTAATCTGTGAGAAATACTAGGTGAACACTGATAATTGAACTGAGCTGAACTAAGCCACAAATTTGGTTCACCTCAAACATCTATTAGCTATCTCAGTTGACTTTTTGTGAGAGCCACTCTTAGGTCTGATACAACATTCACCCTCCTCACTTCACACTAACTGGGAAACCACAGACCTCATAAGGTCCGCTTCTACAGGCATGCTTACAGTATTTCTTAACCATTTAATATATAGAAAGAAGGTTGCTACCATTTTCGTTCTTTGTGTGTCATTGATCAAGTTTTTGAGTATTGTGCCCCCTAGTTCTTTTTTTTTTTTTCCTCAAAAACCCCGTGGATTTTTGCATAATGAGGTGATTTTGTAAGGAACCCATGTTTATAATTGCAAATGAAGCCAGAGGGATGAGGGGCAAGGTTGGCTAGAGGGGAAGTTGGTTCTTGTTGCCTCATAAGGGATGAGGGGGTTCCCATAGCTTCCCAATTTCTATGCAAAATCGCAGGAACTTGATCCACACTCCGAAAAGCAGTTCAAGTTGTCTTACAACAAGGAGTCTCAAAAGGTGGAATTTTAGCGAGGATTTATTTTAGTATAACAGGATAAAAGTAGGGAAAAGGTGGGTGGGCAGAAACATTTTCAGCTCCACACACAGGAAATGGGAGTAAGGAGTCAAAATGGTGGTTCTTATCTGTAGTCTCTATACTTTATGATCTGGGTGAATGCAAGGGGCCCTGTCAAGCAACTCTTTATAATTAGACAGTGGTTCTGGATGGCTAAAAATGGATTCTGTTTATTATAAAACATGAAGATATGATCCAGAGCCACTCAAAAGAAGGGATCATAGATGTTTTAGGACTTCTTTTGCTAGACATGCCTTTCATTTTTCTTCTCTACCCATTCAAGAAGCCTTGGAGCTTTTAATATTTCAAAGAGGAAGGCAGATGTAGATAGTAATGTGCCTTTATTTAATTAATTGATTTATTTTTTAAATTTTGCCCCTTTTTTTCGGTCTGAGGTTTGAACTCGGGGTGGGGGTGGGGGTTGGTGCTTGGAAAGCAGGTCCTCTGTGGCTTGAGCCACATTTCCAGTCCTGTCTCTCTATTCTTATAACTTAATATCTAGATGGAGGTGGGAGAGGGACTTGCTGTTTTGGTTCCAATATCTGAGTCTGACCCTTTTATATTTATTAAAAGTAATATAATTTCTCTGTCTCCTCATCTATCCATCTTGCCTCAAAAACATGGGCAATCTGTAAGGGCAATGGTTGTCATACTTTGGGAACACTTGCAATATTCTTTATTCTTAGATTTTTTGGGGGGCCGGTACTGGGGTTTGAACTCTGGACTTAGTGCTTGCAAAGCAGGCACTCTACCGCTTGAGCTACACTTTTAGTGTTTTGTTTTTTTTTTTTTTTTTGCAGTACTGGGGCTTGAACTCAGGGCTTCACATTTGCTAGGTAGGCTGTCTTACTGCTTAAGCCATTCCACCAGTCCTTTGGCACTAGGGTTTGAATTCAGGGCCTCAGGCTTGCTAGACAGCTATTCTTAACTGATATTCTTAGATCTTTTGGAGCCTTTCAGTTATCTTATGAAGG